TCCTGATTGTGACTGAAAGAACTTGGCAACTTACTTACTTTTTGATTCTTTATAAAGATTTCCTTATCCTTGTCTTATGATAGCAGCAAATAATCTTTTTACATAAGAATCACACTTTATAAAGAACACTTAACAACAGTAGTGTGTTTTTAGTTTGTATTTTTGTATGACTCATTGTCTCTCCTGGCGTGTGCTCTCATTTTCTTTCCCCCAGAGCAAAAGTTCTTCACCTGTGAGTATCACTTTTATTTCCATCTATCGCTGCATGTTTGCATCAGTGTTTGGTGTCTGATTCCCTGGAACAACATTATATTACATGTGTATCAAACTCCTGCCGCAATCCTCCCCTGGATGTTCCGGTGTTTGCTGCAGAGGACTCCTGCTGGCGTGCTGTTCCCTCACAGGAGGCTGATGCAGTAACAGAGGATTCACTGGTTGATGCCTGTCCATCACAACTGCACAGGGCGTGTATCTCAGTGATGAGCCGCGTTCTCATGGTTTCCACATGTCCAGGATGACAAAAGACAATGTTTTTGAACCTAATGTCCAGAGAGAGTCTGTTGTGTGCAGCTACATGAAGTGTTTCATGAGTGCAAGTCTGAATATGCCAGTCCTGGTCAATAAAATGTCCTGTCACAGTCAAAGAAGCTTCAGTTCCTCACTGTCCACATATTACTTAAAAACCTCACATGTCATTGTCTTTCAGGGTTGTTTAGACGTGTTCAGATAGCTTTGGAATTTCACATGACATCAAGAATTTCCTCATTCTACTGTAACCCCTCCCCCTCGCATCTCCTTCTTCCCCAGTCCCCACCCCTTGCAGCACCTCCTCAGTGTCAGTGTTTGGCTGCTGTGAACAGGATCCTGAACCGATCTGGATCAGACGGAGGTTCTGTTCTTTGCTGCTGTTGTGTTGGAGTGAAAATAGAACATGAGAAGACGAGCAGGAGAACAGGAGACTGCGACCTAGGAGAACACATTCAGGTAAGAACACAGAGACCAGGTCTGAGATTCAGGGTCGAGGTGAAGGAGGTGAGGTCACAGCTGCAGAGAGGTGGAAGGTGGCATCATGAAAACATGCTAACACACTGATCCTACACACACACACACACACATACATGTGCACGTGTGTTTAGTATGACAGGAGCTGTGAGGATCAGTTGCCATGGGAACTCCTCATTCTTTCCACATTCTTATCACTGATATTTAATCAGCACAAAAACAACTGACGTTAACAGACAGAAAGGTGGTCTACAGACGTCCAATCAGAGCACAGCATATAAACTGGCATGCTTCTCAACCTGAGGGTCAGGACAGTAGTGCAGGGGCGTCACAAGATTAAATTAAGATTATTTCAGTTTTCTTTTATTCTGCCTTGACATACGAAAACATTCTGTGTCAAACAATGTAACCGTCACTGTCCGCTTACTTCTGTCCTTTACGTTGTCATGGCTGTTAAATAGTACATCCTCTAGAGGGCAGCACAGAGTTGCGATAAAGTTCCCCTTGTCTCGGGTCAAGTTTCTTTTATTGATCTTGTTTCTCCTCTAAAGGTTCCACCATTGTTGAAGTGTCTCCATTGTGCCCTGTGGTCGTCTCACTTTAACTGTTGGCTACACTGATCTGTAAACTTGAGAAGACGTAAACAAATACAGGAAAAATTAACACAGAGTTGACAAATCTAATTTTCACAACACAAACAACAACACAGCAACACAAACAGCGTAAACAACAACAGTACAGTACATTTCAAATGAAAAAAGTTTTTCTGTTCGTCAGAACTGTCCAATCATCAAACCTCAGTCTGGACTCCTCCTTTTCTGCAGGATGTCAGGTGATTGGTCCATTCTGAGGTTGTCGCCACTGTCTCCACCCAGCAGCTATGTAGCGCCACCCCCTATAAACATATCTCAGCCCCGCCCCCTCTCAGACTGGGAGGCTCCCAGTTTCACTCAGGCTGCTCAGTTCCGTGTCATTGCCACCTTGGTCCTCTTCCTGTTTGCTGCCTGCAGTAACCTGGCCCTATTGGCCAGTGTCTGGTGTGGGCGTGGCCGGCGGCTGGCATCTCACTTGCGCCCGCTAATGCTGAGCCTAGCATCGGCTGACCTGATGATGACATTCGTGGTGATGCCTCTGGACGCAGTGTGGAACAGGACGGTGCAGTGGTACGGAGGAGACGTGCTCTGTAAACTGCTTTGCTTCCTGAAGCTGTTTGCCATGCATGCCTCGGCCTTCATCCTCGTTGTCATAAGCCTTGACCGCCAGCACGCCATCCTGCACCCGTTGGATGCTTTAAGCGCTCACCGCAGGAATCGACAAATGGTTCTGATGGCCTGGAGCCTTAGCCTGCTGCTCGCATCACCACAGGTAGATATCTTGACATTTTTCTTGTGTTTTCTGTGTGTTTGACGTGTTTGATGTGTTAGCTGTGTCTGATGTATGAGATGTGTTTGATTTGTTTGACGTGTTTGACGTGTTAGCTGTGTTAGCTGTGTTTGACGTGTTTGATTTGTTTGACGTGTTTGCTGTGTTTGAT